CATGCTTAGCATACACTGGACCCTAGGCTCAATTCTCTAGCACCATGTTGGGTGGGAGAGAGCAAAAGAGACTAGTAGCAATGAAAGATAGGAATTATCAAACCTTGAATGAGCATAGCTTTGCGAGAAAAAGTGGCTGTCAAACTAATCCTTTGTATACATCCTATCAAAAATTAGTCCTGAGCCAGCAAGATGGCTCAGTGGATAAAAGTACTTGCCATGAACCTACAGAATGGGAAAAGATCTTCACCAATGGATAGTGGACTGATCTCAAAAATATACAAAGAACTCAAGAAACTTGACATCAAAAGAACAAATAATCCAATAAAAAATGGGGCATAGATCTAAACAGAGACTTCTCAACAGACAAATCTCAAATGGCTGAAAGACACTTAAGGAAATGGTCAACATCCTTAACCATCAGAGAAATGCAAATCAGAATAACTCTGAGATTTCATCTTATACCTGTAAGAATGGCCAAGATCAAAACCACTGATGACAGCTTATGCTGGAGAGAATGAGGGGTAAAGGGAATGTTCCTCCATTGATGGTGGGAGTGCAAACGTGTACAACTGCTTTGGAAACCAGTATGGCGATTTCTCAGAAACAATCTACCTCAGCAATCCTGCTCTTGGGTATATACCTAAAAGATGCTCAATCATACCACAAGGACATATGCTCACCTATGTTCATAGCAGCATTATTCATAATAGCCAGAACCTAGAAACAACCTAGATGCCCCATGAAAAATGGATAAAGAAATATATTTACACAGTGGTAAATGTGTACTACACAGTGGTAAAAAATAATGACATCTTGAAATTTTCATGCAAATGGATGGATCTAGAAAAAACTATATTGAGGTAACCCAGACCCAGAAAGACAAATATGTACTCACTTATAAGTGTCTTCTAGACATAAAGCAAAGTAAAAAACCAACCTACATTCCACAACCCCAGACAACCTAGACAACAAAGAGGATCCTAAGAGAGACATACATGGATCTAAATACAAAGGAGAAAAAGACAAGATTTCCTGAGTAAATTGGGAGCTTGGGTAGAAGCAGAGGGTAGAAGAGGAGGGGGAGAAAGGGTGACGAACAGAGAAAAATGTATAGCTCACTAAAAACAACAACAATAATAAAAGAGCCAGAAAAAAAAGTGCTTGCCATGCAAGCCTAATGACCTGAGTTGGATCCCCAGAACCAGATGTCTTTGTCAGTGTGCTACTGCTGTGAAGAGACATCATAACCATGGCAATTCTTACAAAGGAAAACATTTGATTGGGGTGGCTTACAGTTCAGAGGTTTAGTCTATTACCTCATTGGTGGGAAACAGTTGCATGCAGGCAGACATGGTGCTGGAGAAGGAGCTGAGAGCTCTACATCTGAATTGGCCGGCAGTAGGAAGAGAAGTGGCTTTAGCTTCTAAGATCTGAAAGCCTCCCTAGAGACACACTACCTCTAGCAAAGCCACGCATACTCAAACAATGCTACACTTCCTAACAGTGGCACTCCCTATGGACCAAGCATTCAAGCACGTGAGTCTATGGGGGCCGTTCCTACTCTAACCAACACATCACCACACCAGATAAAAAAGCTGGATATGAGGCTGGAGCTGTGGCTCAGTGGTTAAGAGCACTGGCTGCTCTTCTAGAAGACTGGAGTTCAATTCCCGGCACCTACATGGTGGCTCACAACCTCTACAACTCCGGTTCCAGCATCCTCTTTTGCCCTCTGTGAACACTGGGTATGCAGAAACATAACATGTACTCATAAACACATTAAAACAACAACAACCACCAACCTGGTGGTTATGGTGATATGAATATGCAATCCCAGCATTCATACGTTAAGATAACAGGCTCAGAAGCTTTGCAGGGAGGTAGTCTAGAGTACAAAGCATGGCAGAAACAAGAAAGACCCTGCCTCAAGAGATAAAAGGTGAGAAAGTCCCAAGAGTTGTCCTCTGACCTCCATGTATGTGTTGTAGCACATACACACACACACACACACACACACACACACACACAAAGTAAGTACCTAGTCTGTACCTCAAAAATCCTGAATGAGCCAGGTTGTGGTGGTACACGCCTTTAATTCTAGCACTCGGGAGGCAAAGGCAGACAGATCTCTATGAGTTCGAGACCAGCCTGGTCTATAAGCTCTAGTTCCAGGACAGGCTCCAAAGATACAGAGAAACCCTGTCTCGAAAAACCAAAAACAACAACAAGAGCCCTGAATGTTATAAAGGGCAGTCCCTTCACTTTACACTTACAAGTGCATTTTATTTGCCTAATGTATGCTAGGTGATGAACACAAAAACAACAGCCCTGGACTCAAGTTGCTCACTTTTAGCACAGTGGTAGTTGTTAGCAAGCATTTTTCTTCCTGCTGGAGCTCAGTCTGGTAAGCCAATGCCTTTGAAAGCCAAAGGAAGGTTGGCATAATAGCAGATGTTTACAGTCCCAATGCTGGAGGTGCAGACATCCATCCATCCCAGATTAAATAGCAGCTAATCTTGAATTGACAGGGAGCCTCCTGCCTCTGTTCTCCTTGGTACTGGGATTACAGGATTGAGCCAACACACTGGGCTCATGAACTGCTTTTCTTTTTTTTTTTTTAATATTTATTTATTTATGTGTACAATATTCTGTCTGTATGCCTGAAGGCCAGAAGAGGGCGCCAGACCTCTTTACAGATGGTTGTGAGCCACCATGTGGTTGCTGGGAATTGAACTCAGAACCTTTGGAAGAGCAGGCAATGCTCTTAACCACTGAGCCCTCTCTCCAGCCCATGAACTGCTTTTCTAAACCACAGTTTTAGCAATTTCTGAGACTGCATAGAAACTGTTAATTCAATTAGTTGTTAAGAGCTAACATTATCAGAATGTGACCAGCCAGCGTCCTAGGGTTTGGCTCAATACATGGCAGGGTGGTTGGAAGACTGTGGTGAGCTACTCGTCAGCTGCATGCACATGTGGACATTGTCTCTGGAGGAGGAAATGGAGACGCCGACTAAGAGAGAACAGTGGCGCTGTGCAGTTTCCAGTGGTTTAGACCAGAAGAGCTCAAGTTCAAGTCATCCCGGGTCACACAGTGAGACCTTGTCTTAAAACACACTCAAGAAAAAAAGTCATCCACAAAACACTACTTAAAGCTGAGTGTGGGGGTGTATCTGTAAGCAATTCCAGCACTTGGAAAGTGGAGATAAAAGGGTCAGGATTTCTAAGTCAGCCTGGGCTGCTTCTGCCCCTGCTTAACAAACAAACCCAACTAACCAACCATAAAAAAATTCCTAGTTTGAGGGCTTGCTGTAAAAAGTAACTGAGAGAGGCCGGAGAAATGTCTCAGAGGTTAAGAGCACTGGCTGCTCTTCCAGAGGTCCTGAATTCAATTCCCAGCAACCACATGGTGGCTCACAACCATCTATAATGAGATTTGATGACCTCTTCTGGCATGCAGGCATATATGCAGGTAGAACACTGCATACATTAAAAAAAAAAGAAGAAGACAAAAGAAAACAAAACGGAGAGTTTCGTGTTTAGTTCTCTCCTTAGGCAACAATTCTCCCTTAGCTCCTTCACAATACAGTTGTCTAAAGTCAGCATTCCAAAACTTAGATCTAGATTTTAAAAAATAAAGTTGTAAAAACATCTTCTTTACACATTATTCTGTAATTTCCAAGCAGATTAGTTGCATTCTGTCTAGACACCTTTCAGAGGAAGTAAAATTAACAGTATGATTTTCTGTGTCTTGGTCTCCAGGCGAATTACAGAAGTTAACAGGTACCTAATTAGACCGGGTTTTTCCTACTTCCTGCAGTAAGGGGCTAAAGGTGAACTGTACTTCTTGTCACTTTCCCCACATTTACTAAAATGCAACCTGTAAGTGTGAGGTGCAGTTATTATTAAAGTATTAAATATAGTTGACAAATCTGGCTATTCAAAAAGAAACCACCTAAGCCGGGTGGTGGTGGCGCACGCCTTTAATCCCAGCACTTGGGAGGCAGAGGCAGGCGGATCTCTGTGAGTTCGAGACCAGCCTGGTCTACAGAGCTAGTTCCAGGGCAGGATCCAAAGCCACAGAGAAACCCTGTCTCGAAAAACAAAAAACAACAACAACAACAACAAAAAAAAAACACCTAAAAGTGGATAAGGAACTGGAAGAACCCAAATCGCCCATTGGCACTGCTGGACACACCGCTGGATATGGCAATCATGATTAATTCGGAAATCTGGCAGGGAAGAGGAACAGATGGAAAGAAGTTTAGGTGAGGGCTTTTAATGACTAGTCAAACATAACGTGAGTCATCAAAAGTTTCCAGTTAACAATCCCTTCTGCCGTACATCCTGGGCCCATTCCTTTATGAGCCACTCTGCTGTTTAAACGGTAACATCTCAGGTTTTACTGCCTCTTCCACAAATGAATACATAAAAGGAAAGACGCTCCCCGCCGGCTTTGAAATGTAGGGCAAACTCTGGTTGGGGTGGCGAGAAAAAGAACAAGGTACAGAGACTGAGGAACACACGAGGCAAAAAGGGTGTTGAAAGTGGGGAAGAAAAAATTTTTTTCCCTAGGTTAGGCCTGCTGTTGGTGTCCTTACAGGCTGGGTTGGATCGTGCTGAAGGGCCCAGCCCACCGCCCTGCCCCAGCAAAGTAGGGCATGCCCCTGCCCCCACCCTGCGACAGACCGTGCAGCCCGTCGGCCACCAGACCTCTGCCTTCTCGCGCTGCCTGCCGGGAGCTCCAGCCGCTTCCGGTGACGCTTGATCGCTGAACTCCGACTCCCGTCGGCCCCTGAGAAAAACCGCAGCAGGTTTGCGCGGGTGCTGTCGGAATCTGTAGTTTATCTGTCGGCCGAGCTGCGTAAACGGGAACGCGGGCTAACATAGCCGGGAACTACCGAGGCGAAGGTACGGGTAGTAGCGAGGGGTCAATTCACGCCAAGCGTGGGGTTGGCGGTGAGGCCGGCGGCGGTAGTTGGGGTTGGGTGGGAGGAGATCCTTTCGCACACACGAGGAGGGTTGAGCTGCTGTCGCTGCGGTCGCGAGTGCCCAGTCTGGATTGTAGCTGCCGCCCAAGACGCCGAGGAGTGAGTCGTTGGCCTCCGGCTCCTCTGTCTTACCGTCCTCGCTGGGTCAGCGCGGCCTGCTCCTCCCCGGTCGGCCGCCCCCGCCTCCATTTCCCGCCCTCTCTTCACCACACACACGGCCCCCCCGATCATGGATCCCGGCAGCGGCGGAGGCGGCGGAGGCGGCGGTGGCGGGAGCAGCAGCAGCAGCGACTCTGCGCCCGACTGCTGGGACCAGACGGATATGGAGACCCCCGGGCCGGGGCCTTGCGGCGCCGGCTCCATGGCGGCGGTGGCTGAGACCCAGCGTGAGAACCTCAGTGCGGCCTTCAGCCGGCAACTCAACGTCAACGCCAAGCCCTTCGTCCCCAACGTCCACGCCGCAGAATTCGTGCCGTCCTTCCTGCGGGGCCCGGCCCAGCCGCCGCCATCCCTCGCCGGCGCGGCCGGCGGCGACCACGGAGCGAGCAGCAGCGCGGGAGGTCCTTTGGGTAAAGGGCCGGGCTGGGTGTTCTCAGGGCCCGGGCGGCGGGCTGAGGCCGGAGTTCCGCGCCGGCGTGGGTGGGGAGGACGCGCGGCCAGAGCGGTCCGCACGTGGGGCGCTGACAGCGGCGCCGGCTGGTCTGGGTGGGGCACCTCCAGTCCCGGAGCTGGCTTGCTTGGGGCGCCCGGGCGTGGAGGAGCGGAGAGCCGGCGGCGCTCGCCCTTCGCCGAAGGCCGCGGTTTACCCGCAGCCGTGGGAACCGTATGGGACCCGGCAGGCCCTCGGCCAGGGAGTGCCACGAGGCCCAAAAGTGGGGACTGATGGGGCCTGAAGTCCCGCAGGTGGGCGCTCTGAGAGCCTAGGAGTTGGGGGACAAGACTTGTCTCTTCGCCTCACCCAGAGAGCTAGTGCTCCCTGCTGCAGTTTCTACTGTTGGAACTGTAATTGCGTTTTAAATATCTGTGGCACCGGCCGACCTGAAGGAATCCCAAGATGCATTGCAGGCCTGCGGTTCGCCAGAAACTGTTGGCTGTCAATACAAAGACCTTTTATCATTCTTAATAGTTTGAAAACTTCAAAGGTTCAAAAATGTCAGGAAGATTCCTCAGTAGTAACATGTGGTAGGAAAGCTCATTGACTTGTTTGAGGTTTTTCAGTGGGATTTAAGACCTTCTGAGTGGCACGTTTAGACTTTAATTGCTTGAAAGTGTTGACCTTATACGGACTGCTTGCTGTAAGAGCTCTGTTTGTGTGCGTGTATTGGTAGCTTAGTCTGTTGCTTGAATATTTCTGATAACTTCATAGTTGTCCCACGCAGCAACTACAAGATACACTTTATGTCGTTTCTAGTTTCAGTCTTTAGACATCTCTTTACAAGCTGACTTTGGGGATGGTAACCTGCTTTCAGGGACTGGTGTTGTACCAGTGTCTGTTGAGTGAACTTAAGTATTGCCTTCGCGCTGGTGCTTATTGGAGTAAATACGGTATTGTCTTTTTAAAGAGAAAGGGGAAAGGGAAGGAAAAAGGCTGACTCTTTAGTTCTTTAGCAGGGAGGCTGTGGGCCAGATCGTTTGAGCTCATTTCAAGTGAGAGTATTGTTAATTTCTGTGTTTTAAGTTCTGGACCTTAGCCTGTGTGGTGGTACTCCAGGTAATGTCTGTAGTTCCAGAACTCTAGAGGTGGAGGCAGGCGGATGCTTAGGGAAAGCAGAGAAAACAAATGTCAGTGTCACCGAGCCTCCCTCTTCCTGGTGTGCAGTGCTTGTCTGTGACCCCGGGGACTCAGGAGGCTCAGGTAGGAAGATCTTTAGGTGAAGGCCACTGGTAGTATCTGGAAAGTCCCTCTAAAAATAAAGTAATAAATACATAAATGCCAAAAATAAGCAAAGTGCTCTTGGAAATGAGTTTCTTAGGAAACTTTTGCTTCAGTGTGCTCTCCAGGAGTGAAAGGGTGTTTAGGGAAATGCTTTTGTGAGGAACATGTGTCAGCACGGTTTAGATAAGACTGTTTTGGGTGGCTGGGGTGAAGAATGAACTTTGGGGCTGTATCATGCATGAGGGATTTGTCATACTTACCTGCCCCCCCCCCCACCATGGGGGTTTGAATGTTTATTGACTGGCATTTCTTTTATTTGTGTATGATTGATACTTCCCTTTAAACAAGGAAAACCAACTTTATTTTGTTTTGTTTTTCAAGACAGGGATTCTCTGTGTAGCCTTAGCTGTCCTTGGCTGTCTTGGAACTTGCTCTGTAGACCAGACTGGCCTCGAACCTATGACTGGGATTAAAGCCGAATGCCTGGCTTAAAATTCTATTTTATTTATTTGCTTTTTGGTTTTTCCAGTCAAGGTTTCTTTGTGTAACAGCCCTGGCTATCCTGGAAGTCACTTTTAGACCAGGCTGGCTTCGAACTGCCTGTCTCTGTCTCCAGAGTGTTGGGATTAAAGGTGTGCACCACCAAATTTTTTTAATTGTGTGATTTCTGTGAGTGCAACACCTGAGAAACATGGAGAATTTCCATGAATTCCAGGTCAGTCTGGGCTAGAGTAAGAACCTGTATCCATCAAGGAGAAATAATAATAATATAAACATTCTGTGTGTGGTGTCTGAATATTGCCTGTGTATTAGTCTAAAGCTATATGGGACTAAAGTTTGAAAACTGTGGGTTTATAAAATGCTACCATCAGTGAATATTGCTTGGGGAAAGCAGAAAAAAACAGATGGCAGTAGCACCAAGCCTGTAACTCACTGAGGGGAACGCAAATGCTTTTGATGGTGAGGAAATGGTCCATAAGGTACGTGGCCTGTTGCCTTCATTATCAAGCCAGTCTGTGCTTGGTGTTTCTAGTAGGAGAGCTGTGGTAAGTGGGGCTCTAGAATAACCTTTAGGGTGTGCCTGCTGGTGACAACCATCTCTCCTTTCTCCTGGAAACAGGATGATTTGCCCCTTTTTTTCTTTTCCTTGAAATGCAGTAGAGGAAGGGGCTTTGGTGCCAAGAGTCTTTACTGTTCCTGGAAAGGCCGTCAGTCAGAAAGAACTGGTCACCCGCTGTTGAAAATGTAAAAACACCAAATTCAGGCTGGGTGGTGGTAGTGCACACCTTTAATCCCAGCACTCAGGAGACAGAGGCAGACGGATCTCTGAGAGTTAGAGGCCAGCCTAAGCTACAAGAGCTAGTTCCAGGACAGGCTCCAAAGCTACAGAGAAACCCTGTCTTGAAAAACAAAAAAATAAAACAAAACAAAAACAAAAAAATATTAAAAACAAAAGAACACCAAATTCCTAACAATGATTAAGTAAACTCATTTAAGTGTTATTAAGTATAAGCATAATCCATTTAAGTCCAATTTTCTGCAGAGCCAAGTAAATTGTGCTAGTGACTATAAATGAAAATAGAGGTCTTAAAAAATGACTGGATATTTTAAGTTTTAGTATATTCTCAAGGTTAAGCAACTATTGTCACTTAATGGATTTTTTTTTTTTTTTTGAAGACAAGGTCATGTTGCCTAGGTTGGTCTCCCCAGTGCTGCATAGCCAAGAATGACCTTGGACTTTTCTTAATCTTCTTGCCTCTACCTCCCAAGTTCTAAGATAACAGGGTTTCCCCACCACAGAAAGTTACACGGTGTACATGATATTGGGGCTCAACCCAGGGATTTGTGCATGCTAGGCACACACTTACCAACTGAGCCCCCCCCATCCTTAGTCTTGTTTTGGATTTTTAAAAAAAGATTGATTTATGTATTATGTATACAGTGTTCTGTCTGCATGCATGCCTACATGGCAGAAGAGGGCATCAGATCCCACTACAGATGGTTGTGAGCCACCATATGGTTGCCGGGAATTGAACTCAGGACTTTTGGAAGAACAGCCAGTGCTCTTAATCCCTGAGCTATCTCTCTGGCCCAGATTTCTTTTTTTTAAGGCAGGTCTCACTATATAGCCCAGGTTATCTTCTCAGTCTTCCTGCCTAAGCCTCCCAGAGACTGAAAAAATTACTTGTAATTGCCACTATGCCTGCCTGACTTTCTGATCATTGGATAGTTTTAAGTTTCTTCGTTGGGGCTTGAAGATTAGAGAGTATCCAAAATCAAAATGGGTATTTTCTGCAGAATTCTTATACTTTGTTATGTTAACCAGTTCCTATTTTAAAAAAAACTGAATAGTCTTTTATTTTTAATGGCACTGATAGTGCAACCCTGAGCCTCTTGTACATGCCAGGCAAGGACTCTACCTAGCATTTACCCCAGCCTAAGAGGGTGTGTGTGTGTGGGGGGGGTACCCTTGGGAGGGGGTCATGGAAATTAGAGGAAGACATAGAGTGTCCTACTTTATTACTTTCTGCCATACTCCTTTGAGATAGGATCTGTTATGAACCCGGAGCTAGGCTGACAGTTAAACCCCCAGTGGTCCTCCTATCTCTGCTCCTCTGGGCCCCACAGCACTGGAATTATATGCACCTGTGCCTTTTTAAAGTGAGTACTGGGGATTTGAACTCAGGTCTTGTATAGCAAGCTGTCTGATACACTGAGCCATCTGCCCAGCTTCCCAACCTTTGTTTTTGATTTAGGTTTTGTTTTACAATTTAAATGCCTACAGGAATAAAGATGTAAAGAGTTAGTAGGCCTCATTGGAACATAAGTAGAGGACAGTAGGAAAAAAATTGGTGGTGAGTATTTTTCCTAAAATATTACAGTGATGGAGATTCGATTTTGTTTCTTGGTTGATGTCTTCACACATATGGACAGCTTAAGTATGAGGATTTAGGGGCATCACCTAGTATAAGGTTGAGTGGTTGTTTAAACTTAAAATTTTTGACTGGAAACAAACCTTTGGAGCATGTTTTACTTAGTGTTGTTAGAATATAGTTTATTGCATGGTTGTGTTTATATATATATATATATATATATATATAGTTTACCTCTTTGAAATCGTACAACATGGAAAGGGCAGGCAAAGTGGCTTAATAGGGTTAAAAAACAAAATAAAACTTGCTAAGCAAGCCTGATGACCTGCGCTTGATTCCTGGAACCCATATAACTAAGTGGAAAAGAAACTGATCTACAGAGTTGTCCTCTCACCCTCACATGCACACACACAATAATAGTAATAAATTTTGAAAGTAAAATTATTAGGGCAGCTGGGGACATAGCTCAGTAGTAGAGCACTTGCCTGGTAATAAAACGGCCCCAGGTTAGAACTAGCTCCTTGGCACTATAAGGAAACAATATCAAATTCTCAAGACAAGTTAGGGAAATACAGTAGAGAACAAATACAAGCCTTCATTTGCTTGCTTTTGTTTGCCAGGGAAGAAATTAATGTTAAAAATAGAATTATCTTTCTGGCTAAAGAGAAAGAGATGAAAAAGACTTAGTCAACTTTTGTGGTGAGTTAACATGGTGGAAGGGAATTTTTTTTTGTTTGTTTTTTCGAGACAGGGTTTCTCTGTGGTTTTGGAGCCTGTCCTGGAACTAGCTCTTGTAGACCAGGCTGGTCTTGAACTCACA